CTCTTTCCTGCCCAGAGCAAGGTGACTGGACCTAATGATCTTGCGTTCCTTCTAGCCCTAAACTTCTGTGAATCTGTGTAGGTGTTGGCCCAAGTATGTGTGATGGGAGCATTGTACTGCTCTCTGTACTCAGTTCTAAAGAGTCCACAGTCATTACTGATCAGTTGGAATCTGCAGTGAAACATCCCTCTTTGGTAATTTAGGGAATGGTTCCCAATGGGTTAAGGGTGTTTTATTGTGGCCTCCATATTTAATATGGCTATGGGTTATGAATCTTATTGTTTCTATGTTCACATCCAATTACTTGATGAATATTCTTTATGAAAAATATCTTTTCTATTTAGAAAAAACAGAATACAAGAACATTTGCAGTTTTGTTATATTTTATATGTTTGGGGAAGAATTTTTTCCAGTTTTCACTGAGGATCTCTTAACCTCTGACATGTCTATAATGGGTATTTCATTCATATGAATATTAGTGGAGGACATGAAGGACATGCAACAAAGACTTGCAGTGTGTTAAGGAGAAAGAAATTTAGCACTTTATTTAATTATAGGTGGCCAAATTTTGACCTAGGATGCAAACACACAGTCTCATGGGGAGTTTCTTATATGTACATGAGAGCAGAGTTTAACACACACTTGCAATTAACCACCATAATTACCTCTCCATCAAATTATCGACATGACATTTGCTTCACAAACTGGGTAATATATAGGTGACAAAATTTAGCTAGTACTATTTTCCCCATGCCCACTGAGAAACAGAATTATAGCTATAATGAAATATGGAGCCTAAAACTACTCACAGATATTGGCTGTGCCTTTAGGTATAGGCAGATATGAGCCAGGGCTCCAAGGTTGGCCCTGATAATTCTTCTTGCATTTCCCACAGTCCGGGCCTGTAGTGTTATGCTCACATTCACAAAACAATTTTTTGTTTTCTTCTTTACAGCTAGTGGCATGAAGGTTACACTTGCACCTATCAAAGAGAAGGCAAGGTGTTATTTCAAGTTGACATTTGATTTCAGACTACTAAGGTCCTAGTAAAATACTCTTTATGGCAACCAATATATTTTTTCCTAAGTTTGTGGTGACAGTCTTATCGTTTTAACATGTCTTGAAAGAAATCAATCTAGCTCATATTGGTTACATGCATAAACACCTTTATTGTGTTATCTTGCTGCTCAGCAGCCATCTAAAAACAGTAACTTCACCTGGACACCAATGGGCTGATTCTTTTCATACACACATCATTTTTTCACTGGTAAAGCATCACTGAAATCAACTGCTTCGTTTCTAATTTCTATTGCACGAGACTTAATAACCCTACAGAGAGCTGACTGTACTTATAATAAAGTTAGACATATATTTCACTTTTTGCAAGATCTGACCTAAAGTCATATCAGAATCAGGTCTCTGCTTTTTTAAAGACAGGTTCATTATTAAAAAGGTAGTCCACAATACCATCTTTTACTAATGGGGAAGAGTTATAAAGATGTAAACTGATGAATGCTCAAATCCAATGAGGTCAGATCCCAGGGAGGTGGGATTTTTTTTTTCCAGATATCTAGTGTGAAATCTGTGCTGAGGTTTTCAAACACAATTTCAGTGGGTGATACACTAACCTTAGGAGGTCTCTAGAAAATAAGCCCAATTACTCTGAAAAAAAATGCTTACACAAAACAGCACTGCATACATTTGGAAAACTTTGCTAAGGTCCTGTTTTTTTCTCCATGTGGATAATAGATAGGGTGATAAATAGTAGGTACCAAGTGGTATACAATCTCCACAAAAATATATAATGAACTAAAAATATGAATGGAAAATGCAAAACTAACTTTTTGAAGAAGCGAGTTAGCATGTTTCATTATGCAAAGCACTGGCTTTTGCTTAGAAATGACAATTATTTTGAGAGAATTCTAACATACAAAACTGAAAAACAATTCTACCAACATGTTTCTTTTTCAAAACTGGAAATAAATTAATCAGAATTCTTAACAAAATCATTAATAAATCACAATATAATACACTGAAAGTAGAGATTTTTTTAAAGGAATCTAGGACATTTCAGCATGGCAATCTGGTTTCATAGATGTTGAAGCATTGTTATTTTTTTCTACTACATGTCAGAAATGGGTAAAATCTCCCTTTGATTGGTGCTGGAAAAGAGCTAGTTATTATGACTCTGGTTGTTTCTTTTCCTAATTATATATCCTGTGATCTAAAAGGTTTTCATTGGGCTATTTGTCACTTGTTCCATACAATGACCAATAATTAGACCAAAGCCACACATGGAATGACCAAAATATTTACAAGTGCATATTAACAGCACTGCCAACCTCACTTCCATTTAAAGGGAATATAACCTGAAGCAAGTGGCTAGGCACACAAATCTCCCCAGGGTAAAACAAAGTTGCAATTGCCTAAGTGGCTGCTGGAGAAAATTCATACTGTATTTGCAATCTAGTACATGCTGTATGCATTCTACCCATGGTTAGAAATGAGACGGTGTGAATTGCTGTTATTTAAACAGTGCTCACTCTAGCTGGAAATACAATCAACACCTTTTTTAAATTAAAATTTGTAAAATCTTTTTTTTTTAACATGTAGGGGAAAGAAGAAAGAAGAGGAGGAGGAAGAAGAAGGAGTTCTGCTGAGCAGTGTTTAATTATGAGCTCTGCCCTGCATCTATATATTGCCTGCAGTGAATCACTTGTGGCGCTAATTTGACTCGGGGGGTCTTTCTTCACACACTATTAGCACTTTTCTTGGAGGATGCACTTTGCAAATGTACCACATCCAAAATACCCATGTTTAAAGAATCTTTAAGATGTTGTGAAGTCAAGCACTCAAAAGTTAGGAAATATCAGTGTTAATGTTGTCTGTGACAGTCTGGGGTCCACATAGCCAGGCAGAAACAACATAAAACGATATTAACTGGAAGAATAAGTTTGAAAAGGGCCTGAAGGAAGTGAAAAGGAAAATGCCCCAAAAGGAGGGACAGGTGACAAAGCAAGAGGACATACTGGGGAAGGTTTTAAAAATCACTTGAAGCTTTTAGAAAAGAGAAGAAGAGTCAATGCTGCTTCTGTAAAAGGGTTTTTTAATTAAGAGCGGAATCAGTAAAAGTCAAAGTCAGCAAACTGACTTTATTGGGAAAAAAATAAAGCCTCCATGATTCTGAAAAGAAGCTTCAACACCCTATCCAGACCAAAAGAACTCTTTGGAATGAGGTGGATACAGAGGCAGGCAAAAGGTATACAGGTATGTTTATTAATTTCTAGGTTGTATATGGAGTGGGCTGCTAAGGGAAGACTAATTGTATTTTAGAATCCTGAGCAGTCCTTCTGTGCATACTGATGATGTGTCAAAAAAGTCAAAGTGTAAGCTCCAAATTGGGTACATGCCTTAAGTTCTTGTATTTCCACAGGACCCTGACCTCCTTCAGTTAATACACAGTTATTTGCACTGTGGGAGAGAGGGGGACATTGTTTAACAGACATCATTTCGGATTCAAAATATTCTATTCATGTCTGATGGGCGATACTAAGGTGTTCATGCCATGGCATCATCTGAATGCTTCACAAACATTAATGAATTTATCTTCCCAATACCCTGATTAGAAAAGGTGACCTTTTTATCTTCATATTATTAACACAAGCTAGAACAGATTTTGAGCAGTCACATAATAATACTTACTATGATCTCCCAAGCTGGGTCTCTACTGCTGGCAATGGATGGAGGGAGGCATGGGCAATGGAGCCTAAGAGAGGGTGGTGCCCCTGCTGCTGAATCCCACTAGTGCCCAGGACTGGAGCTTGATAAGACTCCAGTGCAGTCCCAGGGCTGGGACCAACAATCAAACCAGCTCTGGTCCCAGAACACCAGTAGGGACAAGCAGCAGGGGCAGCATTAAAGCAGCTCTGGTGTAGTCCCTGGGCTGAGACTGACAGTCAGCTGATTTTCAGTTTCAGCTCCAGGACCACACCAGATCCAAATGGAGACTCTAGAGCAGTCCCAGGGTTGGAAGCAAAAATCAGCTGATTTTTGGTCTCAGCCCTGGAGTGGTATCAGAGCCAGTTGGAGACTCCCATGTGGTCCTTGTGCTGCAATTGTTCATATTATCTCCGTGAAGCAGTCCAACGTTAGCTCAACATGTGTTATTTAATATGATCTGGAGATGCTCCTAGCTGGAAAAGGCTTAATTTTGCTACAGTATGGTATGATATGAGCATACTTAACAAAGTGTTATCCTGTTTGTATACGTGGACACTCAAGTTGTAAGTACAAATAACACATGCTAAGTGTCTTGTGCAACATGGCCCTAAGGCATAGAGATTTTGCAATATTGGAAAAAGTGCGCACTAATTGTACCGCTTGTCACCCACAGAGCAAGTTTTGTACAAGACACTACAGACTTGCTACGGAAACGTAAAAACATAGACCACCTTCCCAGCAACACCCTCCTAGCCACCATGGACGTTACCAGCCTATATACCAACATCCCACACCAGGATGGCATCCAAGCCTG